CATATTAATGAAGCAAGGGAGCCTAGATAATATTCTCTTAAATTTAAAGAGCCAGCAATAAACTACCAGCTATTAAAAGGTTTCAAAGCAAGAATTCTGTTATGGTATTAAAGGTTTATCTGAAAAAAATGTGAACCATATGACATTCCACAAAATCTTTTTTCATAAAGAAAAAAGAGAAGCTGTTATTTCACTGAGCTGTTGTCATGGTTACCTAAAATCCATGACTTTCTGCTGAAATGTGACTTTTTTTCTTCCCACTGTTTGCTTCCATGTGATGTGCTATTCACCTGATGAGTGAATTCCCTTGCCACAATTCACTGAAGTCTAACATCTAGGATATGTTTTCTCTCTTTATTTTGAACCATCATGACAGCCATTCCTGATAGAACATTTTTGTTTATGGACAGCTTATCTTTTGGTTGCATAATATTCTATCTAAAGGTCTTAAGAATAGTAGGTATTTTAAACTTGAATCTTACTAAGAAACCCATCCCATCTCCAAAAATAATAGACTATTTCATTTGAGGACCGCATGCATCATCTTAAAGGCTTTTGGCATTAAACAGGCAAGAAAATACATGAATACGGAATATAAGCTTTCTAAGAAAATGAACATTAAATACCTTTTAAAATATTTTGTTTAACAGAAAAATCCTTCTGGTAAATATTACTAATCTTATTTAACTAACCCTTAGGTATGTTGTAACTTCTTTGATTGTCTTTACTGTGTTCTCTGTTTTGCATGTGCTTGTGCACATACATGTGCACACACACACACACACACACACTACATATGGACTTTTTTTGAGAACTAAACACAATGTCTTATCCCCTGACTATGAGTAAGTGGCTGCTTATTGGCATTGTTGTGTCCTTGGTATTGGTGACCCAGAGCTTTAAAGAAGTCTGGCCTATGGTCCTAGACACCCAGCTGTGCAGATTTCAATTTGTCTTTGTTAGTAATGGCATTAACATTTCTCTAATTTTGAATTTGGCTCAGCATGCATTTTTAAAGCCCATCCCAAGCATCATGGGATCGTCTCTGTGGATGCAAAAATATTTGAAAATGACCTGTACCTTGGAGTGGCTAACAGTATGGTAGACACAAGCAGGTGTGAAAAACATTACCGGACTGAAGACTTACAGGGTCTATGACATAAACCTGTTCAAGGGTAATAATGACAGCACAAAAGGGAGAGGGATAGGTCTACCTGAGTAAAGCAGATGGATCAGTAAAAGTCTAATAGAATACTGTCATTATGACATAAATGCAAAGGGTTACACTATGGTATCTGTCCATGTTGTCTGGAGCCAATGAATTTTAAGGGAGTCAAAATGACTACATGCCAAATTACATCCATAAGTTGGTATTTCTTTGATTTGCTCTGAGACTAAATGACTCCTTATAAATAGCAAACAGCATGGTAGACCTAAATGGCTACTTCATGTTAGTCCTCAGATGTGTGACGTTGGACAAATCATCCTACCATTTTCTTTCTTTTCTTTTCTTTTTTTTTTTTTTTTTGTGGAAATTTTTGCTGTAGGGCATTATGCTCTTGATAGAGAGACAAAGAGACAGAAAGTGAGAAATCACCCCCCAGGGAGGATGGCCACACTACAATCCCTTCTCCACTCTCCTCTCTGGATCTTGGATATGCACACATATGTGTCCAGGGTGTGGGACTCAAACTGCAATCATTTACATGGGAATCCACTGACATAACCATTACACCATCTACTGGTCCCACCATTTTGTTTCTTCTTTAATAAAATGTAGGTACTACACTAGTTACCATTAAAGATCTCTCAGATTAGAAATCTCCAAAACCTCTATTTTTGTAGCAAGTAAAAAGGTATCTAAAACTAATTGAGGGGAAAAAAAGAGGCAGCTTTGTATCCAAGGAGCTATTGTTTTAGCTAATTTGGAAGGTATAAAAAAAACTCAGTATGGAAGCTATTCAAGCTTATCTCACACAAAATAATCTAATTCTTAATTTGAATGTTCAATTCAGGCAAAAACATACAAATTAATAGTGTGTTTATTATAGAACCTGTGTTTTTGTAAAGCAAAAGGAAAGAGATACCAAAAAAAGCCCTTCATGTTAAATAAATCAACGATTTTCAATGCTGGCTGCACATTGAAATTGTATCTACTTAAAAAATACAGATGATGGGAACCAGCAGGTGGCATGGTGATTAAGGTCCCACAAGGCTGTGTCTGTGTTTAGAGTCCGTGTCTTGGTGGTCTGGAAAAACACCCAGGTGCATGTGCATGGATGCCCAAATCCTGAAAGGGGAAGGAGGAGAAAGGATGTGGCTATTCCCCCCTCTGGGGTGATTTCTCACTTTCCTGCTCTCTCCCTGTCTCTCTAATGAGTACACACACTCAATAGCAAAAAATCTAAAAAGAAAAGAAAATACAGATAACTAAACTTTACAGCAAACCACCTGAATCTGAATTTCTGGTAACAAGTTGAATGGGTGGAGCCTATGCAATTGTTTTTTGTTGTTTTTAATTAAAAAAAAAAATTTAAAGCTCCCTAGTAAGTTTTCATACTGAGAACTATTGAATGAAACCAATATCAAGATCCTGTCTTAGTTTTTGAAAGAGTTGTAGCCTGAGAGGTTATGTGAAAGAATAGAATCCACCCCCATGGGGTGACTTTGACTGTCACCTCCACCAATTATCCTTTGACACCACATAGTTGGTTGACACAAAGTTAATTCGTTTCTTCTTTATATAAACTGTCGTTTGCTAGTTTTTCTTCAATGGTCTTTCTCTATTCCGTTTTTTAATTTTATTTAAAAATCTGTTCATACACAGCACTTTAATTATAGAACAAAGTTGAAGTTAATACTGGAACAATTTTCTCCCCATGCTTACTCAATAGATCCAAAGGATTCTCTTTAGAAAATAATAAAACTGATCACAATCATAAAGGGAAAAAAATACAATCATCAATAAATAAGTATGGAAAGTTACAAATATAATTCTTAGTACCATGTGGCAATACATTTATCTCATGTAAATAAATACAAATTTTGCATCTATTTAGTAAATGTTGGTGTACATGTTGGAACTATTTTTTGTACTTTTTTGTAATTCTGGGTCAAGGGAAGCTATTCATATATATGTAGTTAAGGAAAGCATTATAACTGACTAAAAACCCCACATTCACGGTTGGCAGTATTTTAATCAGTTAAAAAAAAGTGGAAGTTAGATGAAATTTTTGTACTTCATAGATTTAGGTAGAAAGTCTAAAAAGACTTATGGAATAGATTTTGGCCAGCACACTTTTGCAGCCTTTTCTACACAAATACACTCATTACTCTTAGTAAATAGCTGACATCATTGACACCAGAAATTACACAGTGGTCGTTTTTCAATGAGCTTCAACTGGCTTCATCTGTAAGGTGTGTGAACTTGGGGGTAGGGAGTGGGAAGGTCATTCATGTTTCAAATCTGCAGAGTGCAAGTCAGGAAGTGCAGGATTCTTGTCATATCATTCAAATACCAGAGGTTAATTCCCAAAAGCTGCTCTACTCAAAATGGTACATTAGAAATTTTTGGAAGACAAAAAAAAAAAAAAAGGCATCCTTTCTACTTGGATTATACTAAAATGATAAATAACTAAACACGTATTTCTTTGATTACAATTGACCCTAATCCAGAAAACCTAATTCAGAATAAGAAAATATAGGGATTGCATTTGAAAATAGAATCCTTTGTATTGTATCTTAATTTTTGCAAGTATTTAGGAAGAAAACTAATTTATTCTGCAGCCTAATAAAGTGATACAGCATAGGCCGGTTTCTTTAGCTAAAAACATAGCAGTCACATTCTTGAAAATAGTATAGAACAATCATATAACCAGACTGAGAGCATATATTGGGTTGTCAGGAAAATCATGACACATTTTTGCATAGAAAAGTATGTCGTGACTTTCCCAAAGATCTAATATTATCTTTGTTACTTACCAGTGGTGCGATTTCATACAAGTTACCCAATACCTTTATAGCTTCAAAATGGGTAAAGGTTAATGAGTGTTAAATACATTATATATGAAAATACTTGACCAGGATTTGACACATGCTAGATGCTCAGTAAATATTACCTTTATTTATTATTTACTAATTCGAGCTTCAGAATCCCCATATGTTAAAAAATATTAAGATTTATTACCGGAACCAGTAGTTAGCGTAATGGCTATGTCACTGGACTCCCATGTAGTTGACCGTAGTTCATGTCCTGAACCCGGTGGCTTAAAACTTATGCCGGGCGCATGTGCGTGCATTCCCAAGATCCCAAGAGAACGGAGGAAAAGGGATTGTGGTGTGGCCATCCCAACCTGAGGGGGGGATTTCTCCCTTTCTGTCTCTCTGTCTCTCTCTGTCTGGCAAGCGCACGTGCTCTATAGCAAAAACCTCTCAAAAAAAAAAAAGATTACCATCAATATTCACTGAAGTTTCATGATGATGATAATAATCACCATTGACATTTAGTAAATTATGTCTTCCCAGGACTCTGCCCTGAGTATTCTGGTCAGTGAGTCTGGAATAGAGACACTAATTCACATTTTTAATTTGTATACCATATGAATTTTATTGTGAATAATGATTTTATAAATCAGGTGTACTGGTTTTTATTTATTTAGTCATGTATATATATGTTTATTCATTCATTCCCAAACACTTTATGAGCCATTACCATTTACTGGACACCATGCTAGGTACTAGAAAGTAACATAATCAAATAAATGAATTATTCTTTGTTCATCAGAATTTAGAAACTTAGTAGAGATTTATATAAGACATAATCACACATATCATTGAATTACAACTGGGAATTGTGTTATAAATGAAAAATGCAAGGTACAGTGAACGCTTGTAGTAGAGGACCTTTTCTATGGTCAGGAGGGAAGGAAATGAAGACATGCTTGGAAGAGTGATTGCTTAGGTGTCCCTTGCTCTGACACTGTCTATCCAACCCAGCTTACCTGCCAAGAGGAGAAGAAGGATGCGGGGCTGAGTAGGTTAGGGTTTGCTGGGTGGCGACCTCCCATGTACTCATCCGTGCAAACGTCACAGTTTTCTGCATCCCGCCAGTCCCAGTATGGAATAGTGAAATTCTCGTCCCCGGTCATCTTCTGGAGTTCTTGTTCCAACAACAACAAGAAGAGTCTATGCCAAGGCAGGAAACCTGGTGCTTCATGAGCAAAATCAATGTCTCGCCAGATTTCTGATCCCCCAAGCAGCGCATCCCTTGACACATAATAATGCGTCCAGACAAAGAGGTCATAAACATTGATGTCATTGAACATGGGCGTTGATCCATTATTCATTTGGCTATAGGTGCCTGTTGGGATGACATAGTCTGGGCTGGTAGTATGCTTCGCTAAAGTGAGATAAGCAAGGAATTTATCCTTCTCTGGAACACTCAAATCGAAGATGTTTCTTCTCACCAAGAGTCGTCTCTCTGTGCAGTCTGGTCCCCCAAAGCCAAACTTGCAGCTTCCACAATTGAATCCCATGAAGTTGCCAGTGCACTGGCAGGTCCTGTTATAAAAGACGGAAGGCCAAGATTCCCGGTCATCTACCCCTGTGAAGGGGAACTGAGGCCCAGGTGGTGCGCTAGACAGAAGGATATTCTGACAGGAGCCCCTACCTGAAAGCTGACCACAGGGACTCCCATCATCCTCCCATGGTGGGCAGCATTCCTTCTCCATCAGGTTCTTGGGGGACACACAGACGCGTGGAAAATAACCAGCAGAGGTCTGGAAACTCCACAACAAGCCGTACAGGACAGCCAGGAACATTCTTCCTCTAGTCCTGACAAGGTCTGCTGAGCTGGTTAATTGGAGCACAGAATTCCCTTTCCTGCTGCCCTTACAGTGACTGTCACATGTCTTGGCTAAGACCTATATAAGACCACTCCCACCTCCAGCATCAAATACGTTCAGCCTTTATCTTAAGCTTTCATCTTCTGAAAAGCACATGACTAAACTTTCTTTGGAGCTGGCATGCATCCCATAGTGGGATAGGCCTATATTAAAGTGAAAAACAGTATTTATCATTAATATTGTAGCTTCTTAATTATGAAAAAAGAATCTGATACTCTGCCTAATAATCTTGATACATTTTCTGACTATTCCTGAAGATAGGTCACTTTGACAGCTTGGAGGTCTGCTAGTTAATATTCAGAATCTCACTCTCTCTCATTTAGGTGCCATGTTGATTCACCCATAAGTCTGGTTATTAGGAATTTATTTGAAAATGTGTTTGTAATGTGGTTCTTGCAAAGGAATTCTCAATTTAGTAAGTCAGTGAATAAGGAGTATTATATTTACACAAGAAATACGTTTTCTCATCTCAATTCTTCCAGGAGCTTTTTCTCTCTGTGTATAGTGAGTTAAATAAATTGAAATGCATGAGTACAAATGTAATGTTAACTACTTACGTTAGTTTTCAAATGAGTAGTCTATATAATGAATGCATCAAACTTTTATAGGCAGGGAGGAACCTATATGTGAAGTCAGTACATTGGTAAGGATTTTATAGTTCTGGATAATAGTATACAAGTGTTCTGAAGGGGGAACCCTTTGAGTAAAACCTCACATTGGGACATAAACTGGAAAGACAAATGAGAATGGAGATAACACTTGAGTCAGAAAAAACCATGCAGAGCTGGAAACTTACATCTGTTGTATTGGAGCATTAGATTGAAAAAAGAACCCCAAGGACCAGCAGTTGGCGTAATGGCTATGTTGCTGGACTCCCATGTAGTCAACCACAGTTCCAGTCCTGGACCTGGTGGCTTAAACTCACGCCAGGCACATGTGTGTGCATGCCCAAGATCCTGAGAGGAGAATGGAGGAAAAGTGATTGTGGCATGACCATCCCACCTGGTGGGGTGATTTCTCACTTTCTGTCTGTCTGTCTGTCTCTCTCTGTCTCCCTGTCTGTTTTTCTGACAAGCACACACATCCTATAGCAAAAACCTCTCCAAAAAAAAAAAAAAAAAGGAACCCCATGTTATAGGAAATCAAACCTGGGACCAATCCATGCAGTGTTTCAAAGAGATTTGAACTAGGGTGAACCTTTTCTAAAGAGTAACAAGATGAACATATCAAGTCAAAGTTGCCCCTCTGAGATTTGCTTCCAATCTGGCTTCATGCTTAAAGCTGGGCTGTTCCCCATATATAAAGAATAAGTGAACAAAAGAAAGCGTGGAGGAAATGATCAGTGTGTTGGACTGAGCTAAGGGTTTTCAGGGACAACCATTACTCTCCTGGTGGTGCTGGCATGTCAGCCTGCTCTGCTTTCTTTTTGCTAGTTTGTCTCATTATTTAGAAAAACGTCAAGGCTCCTCCATACAACTTTCTTGAGACTCATAGCAGCCTTTGCAGGTGGATGAAGCAGTGTGTGGGTGAAAAGGAAGAGAAGTTTCCATGGAAATGCTGCCTCTGGCTAAGATCAGGATGTCATCACATGATCTTCACAAGGAGGCTTAATCTTTTTTTCTCCTTTTTTCAGAGCCACAAAGAGATTAACATAGGGCTTCTTGTCCCTGTGGAGTCTTGGTTCTGCCTTACTGGTAACCACATGTGGCTTTTTGTAATTCTTTTCCATTTACTTGCAGATGGAATTCAACTTATCGTATTCAATTTAATTAAAAATTTTGCCTTAACGCTTGCCCCCCATAAAGTTTCCGGGCAAAAGAACTTAGAAAGTCTCCATCTTGCTTGCTAAGGACTTTTGTGGCTGCTCTCTTAAGTTCATTTTTCAGACTTCAGATTCTGCTTAACGGAATGACTAAAATGTCCTTTGTCTTTTTAATTTCCTTTGCTGAATTGATTTCCTTAAAATGACAGACGTCTTCATTCCTCCCTGATATTGGCCACTCTCTCCTCTCCCCACATGCCTAGCCATCTTCTTGCCAGTACTAGGTTCTAAATAACAGACCCCATTGCGACTAGTTCCACCCTGACTAGAGATGTACATTCTGTAGATGCATCCAGATTACAAGATTTGTAAGTGTCCTAGTCTATCCTGGGAGATTCTTCCATGACCTAACGTGGAGTTAATGTGATATTCTGTTAATTAGAATTGGGGGTTTAGTATGTACTTCCCAAGCATATACTAGGCATCAACTAGCAGAGACAGTATTGCTATGGTATATACAAAAAAGAATTCTCTGTCATCATGGAGAATAGGTTTATTAAAATCACATTTTAATTTTACTTATTTAATTTTTTTTAATTTGTGCTAGAGCATGTGCACATGAGAGATGAGCACTCCACAGGGTCTGCTCATGCTACCACTCCCTTCCTCCAGTTCTGCAGCCCATCAGAACATGGGCAGGCATGCCTTTGCCTTGTGTGTTTTAGACTGACAGGGTGGGGGATTCGAACAATTGCCAGGTGTGATCTGATCTCCCTCAAGCATTGTATTACAACTGTGCCATAGAACCAGCTTTAATTTTAGTTATTTAAAATTATACATGTAATTAAATATATTTAAGTAAACTTTTATAGGTTAAGTGACTTTAAATTGTTATAAAAAAAATTATAGTCATTAGGGAAGATGGTGCAGTGGCTATCTAGTCTCCTGAAGGAAGTCAAGGAAGGTTTTCTGAGAGAAGTGACATTTCAAGTGACATCTGGTTAAGAGGAGGACAGTGGGGCCCAGCTTCATAGGCAAAGGGAATACCATATATAAAGCTTCAAAGTGGGAGTAATGTGGCATAGTCAAGGGTCCTAAGGACAGTTGAGGTTGCCAGAGCCCCAAAAGCAGTGAAGATGTGCTAGAAGTTTGGAGGTATAAATATGCACAAGATTATAATTTGTCATCAAAGCAGAGATTTAATATAATCATATAGGCATTTGAGACATTTCACTCCAGCTGTTGAGATGAGAACAGATGTGGCAGTGGGAACTAGAGTAAATGCAGAAACAACTGGTAGAAGATTATTGGATTAAACCAGGCAAGAAATTATATTGCTAGGACCAGAGTGATGATCCCTGAGGTGGATGATAGTGGGAAAGGTGAAGGGGAAAGAGAGGTGGTGTTTACTTCTGGATTTCTGGCTTGTGTCCTTAACTGAGGTAACAAACAGTAGAGGATAAAATGTTCAATTTTTAGATATTTTGAGTTTGAGAGAAGATGTCTATTAGCCACAATCGATTAGCCACAATCATTGTTTCTCTGTTTCTGATAATTTGCATAAATATTTGCCCACTCACTGATTACTGTTGCTCTTTTCTTCATTCTTACCACTTGTATTTGTGCCTTTAATTAATGTAGTTTAAACATCCTTCTCCAGTTTTTTCAGCCCTCCTCTTTCAATTATAATGGTAACTGCATTTATTGAGCACAAGTAATATAATTAGCTTAGTAACAGCCACTACCAATTAAAATGAGGTTTATTATGGAAATAGTCAAGTAAGCTCAAATCAGAAAAGAAAAATAATGAAGAATCATGTACACATCATTCTTTAATGGCCAGCATTTTTTGGTAGGTATTGTTTCTTTTGTCCCCACTAAATTAAAAATTCTGGAGTGTTTTTAAAACAAACTTCAGATAATATACTTGGCCTATGGTAGTTAGGTATATATAGCTACCAAAAAGGACATTAAAATTAAAACAACATACAAGTATACTATCTCAAAAACAAAACAAAACAAACAAAAATTCTTTACCATTATCTAATTTCAAGTTTAGGTTCAATTTATTATCACACTTTTTTTTTTTCAAGATCCAAAGCCTACATATTGCATCTAATTGCTGTATCTCATCAATTTCTTCTTTTTTTTTTGTACTTCTAAATTTTATAATTTTTTGTTTGCACTCAATTGTTGTGCATGGTTTTTCAAAGCATGCATGCAATGTGTCATAATCAAATCAAGTATATTACCATATACATCATTTTAGACAAAGATTCTTACTTTGTGTCTGTTAAGCCCTTTACTCCTAATCACCTCCCACCTCCCAGACCCTTCCCATAATGTCTTGTGTATTTACTCTGGTTCTTTCTATTATTATGACTTTGAATCTTTTAATTTCTGTCATAGTGCAGGTGTTTGATATATACTGAGCTCAGACATAGTGTTAGTTACAATCTGATATTTCACTTAGCATTAATTCTTCTATATTCATTCACCTAGTGTCAAGTGATAGTCTCTCTGTTCTTTATAGCTGAGTAGTATTCTATAAAGTACATAAGGTAGATTTTTCAGTCCAGTCATCATTTTGGGGGCACTTAGGTTTATTCCATGTGATAACCATTGTGAATAATACTCCTGTAAACAGGGCTGTACCGGTGTCTTTCCAACTGTTTTCTTGTGTTTGGAATAGATAGGTAAATAACAAGGAGAAGGATTATTGGGTCATATGGTAGTTATATTTGTAAATTTTTGAGAAAACTATATTGTTTTCTGCATTGTCTATACTAATTTACATTTCCACCAATAGTGCAAAAGTTTCCTTTTCACCATAGCCTCATTACCTAGTGATTTTTTAAAAATCATCTTTTCTAGGGTTGTGATACCTAATTGTGGTTTTCATTTGCATTTCCTTTATGAAAAGAGACATTGGACATTTTTTTCATATGCTTTTTGGTCATTGGTATGTCTTCCTTTGAGAGTTGTCTGTTCAGGTCATTTTCCCATGTTTTAATTGGATTATCAGTTTTCTGCAAGTGAACTGCTTGAGTTTCCTATATATTCAGGTTATCATCAAGTCCTTATGTATAGTTTGCAAATATTTTCTCTCATTCAGAGTTGTCCTGTGCTCCCCTTATTGTTTCTTTTGCTGTATGGAAGCTTCTTACTGTAT